ACTAAAGAACCCAAAGTTCACCAAATGCTCGTACATATATTTGGTGCAACATCATCGCCGAGCATCGCTGGATATGCACTGAGAAGAACCGCAAAGGACAACGAGCACGACTTCATGCCAGAGACCATCGATGCTGTGTATAAAGATTTTTACGTTGACGACTTGTTGAAATCGTTTGCTGATGTTGATAGAGCTATACGAGTGAGCAAGCAGTTACATACCTTGCTAGCTAGAGGAGGATTCAAGTTAACAAAGTGGATGTCCAGTCATCGCCAAGTTTTGTCAGAATTTCCAGTAGAGGAACGCGCACCAGCGATCAAGGACTTAGATTTAGCGTCAGAAAGTCTACCTGTAGATAGAGCCCTGGGAATCCACTGGGACGTAGTACAAGATACCTTTAACTTAGTTACGAGTAGCAAGGCACATCCGGAGAATCGAAAGGGCGTCCTGTCATCAGTTGCAACTGTTTATGACCCCCTCGGGTTTGCAGGCCCTTTTCTCCTACCTGGTAGAGAAATAAATCAAGAACTTTGCCATAGGAGTGATACGTTTCGTTAGTAGACGCGGACCCCCAAGAATCATATACAGTGATAACGGCACTAATTTCAAGGGAGCAGAGTTAGACGTCATCAAAGCAATGAAGACGTGGAACCAAGATTGGATACAGAACGAGCTGAATCAAAGAGATGTACAGTGGAAGTTCAATCCCCCCGCAGCGAGTCACCAAGGTGGCGTTTGGGAACGTCTTATCCGATCAGTCAGAAGAATTCTACACTCCATGTTAGGAGAGCGTCTTGTAAATGATGAAACGCTTCACACATTCTAAACAGAAGTAGAGAAGATCATGAATGACAGACGCATAACGAACGTCTCAAGTGATCCCCGAGATTTGGAGGCACTCACACCAAACCACATATTGCTACTCCGCAAGAACACATCCCTACCCCCAGACGAGATAAAGGATGTCGACAAATATAAAGCAAGATGGAAGCACGCCCACCTGTTAGCAAACGAGTTCTGGCAGCGATGGACAAAGGAATACCTGCCGATGCTGCAAGAGCGACAGAAATGGCTACGAGAAAAAGCTAATTTCAAGGTTGGCGACTTAGTCCTCTTAGCAGACAAGAATACCCCAAGAGGTCAATGGCCAAAGGCAATGATTCAACAGACAATGCCGGATAACGACGGAGTTGTAAGACAAGTGATCGTGAAGACGGCCGATGGAGAGTACCGCCGAGACGTGCGAAAGCTTTGTATGCTAGAAGAAGAATTATTGAAGACCAAGACTGAAGCCGAGGACCAAGCAAGAAGCAGTCCGCAGAAGAAAGAGTAGCCACAAAAGTGAACACGAAGGAATGAAAGCATTCAAGACTTGAACTGTTTTTAATTAAGTTACAAGAGGCGTTAAAAGTGTTAAGTAATTTAGTAAATGATTGTGTTTAGATGGGCAGAAAAGACCCAGAATAGTCTTTGGCGGGGGAGCGTGTAAGATTAAGAATTTCCGCAAACTAGAGGCCCCGCAGGCGCCATAAATATTTAACATCAAGAATCAGTCGAGCGTGCATCATTAACTTGTAAGTAGTTTTCTTTTTTTTCTTTTTCCTTTTTAATTTGCCCCTTTTTGTGAAGCTTATTAATTATAAGTTGTTTGTTGTAGCAAAT